ACAAGTTGCGATTTTTATTAAATTTTTTAATAAGTTGCAACATATAGTTGCAACATAAGTGTTGCAACATAGTAATTGCGGCTACCATCTTTAGTAGAAACTCTCAATAATATTTACTCTAGTTTAAATATAATATCATAAATAATTCAGCAAAATCTATAAGAACTTGAATTTAAAATTTATATTTTATGAAAGATTTCTTTTTTCATAAAATTAATAAAATAATATTAACTTACCTAGATGAAAAAATATTAAAAAAAATAATAAAATATTATAATTTTCTCTGATGAATTTATTTTTTAAATATTTCAAAATATAATTCAAATTTATTATAAAGCTGAATAACTAATACTAATTTAAAAGATCATAAAATATTTATTTAAAGTATATGTATAAGAAGTATTCTGTGTAAAAAGAACTATTAAATTTAAAACTTTTGTAAAAATTATAAATAATGAATTATATTATAAAATATTGATTAAAAATTTATTTGAGTAAGTAAATTAGATTCTTGATGACAAGTAAATATTTCAATAAGATAATAACTTTAAGTATTATACTAAACTTATAATTATTTTATTGAATAATTAGTATTTTCATATATTTTATTAGCTATTATACTTATCAGATTTTAATCTAATCAAGAATTTGTGATTAATTATGAAAAAAAAGAATAGAAAAAAGTAAACTTAATAATTTATGAAAAAAATCCATATTATAAGAGAATTTTATTAGAATAATAGAGGAAAAGTAAGAAAAAATTAATATGAAATTATATCAAAAATTAATACAATCAATATCAAAATATCTTGAGCTAGTTATAAATAATAAAGAATATAAAATAAAGTATTAGAAATTGAAATATATATTATAAACTAATTATAATTAATTTTTAAGATTTTTTAAATAAAAATTACATAAATTAAATCACATTATTTGATTATTATTTTTTTCTGTCATCATTATATATTATATTTTTTTATTAATTATAAAAGTTAAATATTACTTAATAATAATATTCTGAATTTTAATACTTTTATTATTTTTAATATCAAATTTTTAAGTATTATTTATTAAAAAATAACTAGTAAATTTTGTATTATTATTTTTAATTTCTAATTTATTCTTATAAATGAAATATTTCATTAAGCTTTATTATAAATTATATTTAATTAATAGTTTATTTAAGAAAAATATTAATATAAATTTAGAAAAGTAAAATAATATTAATTATTATTTATTTATGAATTTTTCTATTATTAATTATTATTTTTATACTTTTTAAAAAGAAATATTAATTTATTTATTTATAAATTCATCTATAATAAGAATTTATAATTATAATATTAATTTTATAGTAGAAATTTATTAATAATTTATAAGTTATATATAATTTATTTAATAAAATCTTTTTTATAATTATATTATATAATAAAGTATCTTAATTTCAAGTCTTATATTACTTATTCAGATTAATCTGATTTTTCAATTCATAATTAATAAAATTAATATTTTATTTATATCTAAATGATAATACTAATTGAATATAACTATTTTAAATAATTTATTTAAAAAAGAATTAATATATTTATTGTATTATTTTATAAATCTTTAATTAATTAGAAGATATCTTATAAATTAAATAAACTAACCTGAATGAATATTAAAATTTAATATAATTAATATAATTTCATTATTAACTTGAGATTTCTAATAGTTTTGAAATAAACTTGAGATTTTTAATAGTTTTAAAATAACTAAGATTTCACTTTCTCAAATACTTTTCTTAAGTAATCCAAGTACTCTTTAAATATATTAGAAAATGTATTTTAATCTTCTAAATTACTACAAATTTATCAAGATAAGATTTGAATATTTTATTTATTAATCATTACCAATATATATATGCTTGGAGATCAAAGATCTAGTGATAAAAATGATAATTCGTCTTGCTTCATCCGAACACGTTACGTTTTGTTTATATTCTAATTTATTACATCTTTTACATATATTTCGACAAATACACCTGTATTATGATATCACATAATACATTAAACATTAAATCAGAAACTGTGACTTAACCATGCTAAAGCCAAGAAAAATTGTCGAATCATGTGATTTTTTAAGGGTAAACCAATCAAATCGCAAGATCAAATTTTTGGTTAGAGCTCTAGGTGCATGATATACAATTGATATACTATCGCTATGAGTTATGTAAGGTAAGGTAAGGTAAGGTAGAGGACACGTATAATTTTTTTTTGATTGACAAACTAAGAGTATGTATTCGAAAAATCCATCCGTTATATCGAGTCACTGTGTATTTAACGAGGCCGAACATTCTAAACGAGAAACTTGAAAGATTAGAAATATTCTTTATCAATTCTTCACAATTTATTTTATTTCTATCATACGGGTCAGCTTTGAGCCGTGAACGTAAGGCAATCCTCGAGATTGCCCCGCCCCAACACTAACTTCGTAGCTCGTCCCCTCGATACGAGATCCCACACACGCTACCAAATTTTCAAATTTTTTACCCAAAAAAAAAAATACATTCGCCTCTCTATATCTTGCAAGTAACTTCTTTGCTCGTTCACTCCTTTGTCCATCAACCGGTATCAACAATGGCCTCAAGAGATTAAGATAAACACTTATTTTGTCATTTATTCCTTCAGATTCACATTCCTTCTTGAGATAATTTTTTGATTAAAATAATCATGTATCCATTTTTAGACATTAATGAAAAGTTCAGTATTCAACTTACAGGAAACTTGGACATGGTCGAATATTCGAAGCGCACAAGTTAGTTTACAAAGCTATCAATCAGATTGTTGCACGATGTATTCTGTTGATCGGTGATTAAAATTGTATTGGATCACGCGCGCGTGAATTTTCTGACGATTATTTTGTGGAAAGTAGAGAGTACAGGTATAAAACGGAATTTTGAAACAAAACGTATAAAAGGGAATTTTTATGTATTACGTAGATTATTGAATAATTATCATCCTTATCGTTGCATTTATTTATGAAAAATGTCTTTTAAGCAAAAACGAATAACTGCATATGGTCAGTCGTGCACAAGATTTTTGTTATGATAATGGAATTTATTACGTTTGTAGTCATTCAATTAAACAACTGTTATTTCGCATATTAATACAGCAAGTCATAAAAAATTAAAAGAAAATAAATTGTGTCTATGGCAACTTTTACAAGAATGGACAATTTAATTTAAATGAAAATTTCATATCATCAAAATTTTGGATGAAGATAAGCACTTACGATTATTTTTCAAAATCATGACTTGGAGCATGTGATGATCTATGCAATCAATTTCGCCCAGGATATCTATCCAATCAGAGCCTCTAATTTTTTTTGGGTTGGAAAATTTGCGTCTGCGCGAAGAATTATTTAACTAAGGTATTGAACGTCGTGAACTGGGGGCTTTTGAAAGACTATTGGGTTGATGGATTTATTATAATTCATAAATAAAAATTTTCATATTAAACTCTTAAAAAGATTCTCAATACCAGAGTTACATTGTCAAAATTTCGAGTATACAACTTATAAAAATCGATGTTATTTCATCTTTTAGTATTCTATGTAACTCCAGGAGCCAGTAATAACTTCAGACGATATAAAATATCATGGCTGAAGCCGACTGTAAAATAAAGTTCATGGTTACAACCAAAAAAATTGTCAGATAATGTTTACAAGTTAGATTGTTAGCAAAACTGCTGGTCATAAAGGTAACAATAATCTAGTGGATGGCCATGCATTTTAATAAAGATTTAGAAAGATTGTAAGGTTGCAACTGAATTTAATTCGGTTCAACCATCCGGTTATTACATACCGTTTATTTGTTCAGCAACCAGATCGAGTTGATAAACATTGAAACGACCTTAGTCTTACAGAAAAACAAAATTAAAAATGGGGAACTTTATAATAAACAGGTAAATATCAATATGATTCTTATTTATACTCTTATAATTGTGTTTGCACTTGTAGAAAATTGGTGACATGAAGAAGAATAGTAGTGGTAATATGGTAATTTATTCGTTGACGATTTCGTTGTTGAATATCATAGTAGTTGTCAGTAGTTATTGATGGTATTGTTGAAACCCTCGGTGTTAATCATATTATTGATATCGACAAAAGTGTTATTGTTTCTAAGAAGTTCCAAAATTATGAAATCTTTTGCATATATTATACTATTTTTGGCAGTCAAGGTTTCTTCCGTTCTTTTTTTATAATCGTCAAGTTGTCTCTCAACCTGCTCCTTACTTTTTTTACAATCTTCAAGACGTTGCTCGACCTGCTCCTTAAGCTCGAATAAATTTTTGTTATTATTCTCCATAATCTCTAATTTTTGCGTAAGATCTGACAATTGTCTGTTAAGATTTGATATAGTTGCTCCTTGTTCCTTGACTCGATTTCTTTGGACTCTGGCTAGTATATTATAATTATATCAAATAAATTAATTGAATTGAATATACGAAACGTGCGAAAAAAACATACATGCTATGGCAGCCTTCGTGTTAGACGGTTTTCTTTTTTTACCATTATTCGATGATGCCATAATACGATTCGTAGTGTATGTATAGTAAATTTTTAAAAGAAAAAAATTTGTAAATTCTTTCACGAAGAAATCCTTTGCAATAAAAACACTCGATAAAGCGTCTCTTTTATTCTTTCGTAATATCGTTTTTGTTCGTCTTTTATTCATCTTTTATTCATTTTTATCTGTTTTGATGTTGTAACTAGGTGAAGCGATGCGATGCGATGCTTCATTAGCGCCAATTCAGTATGAATGGTTAGTACAATCGAGAACAGTACATTGTTCGGGTTCTCGATATTCTACAAATCTTCAATGAATAATGGTTGATTTGTGATTTACTGGTATATTTTTTCTGTTAGAACATAAAAGGCGATTTCATAGTGAATCTTTGCGTAACATTGGGAACATCTGAAATGTGTGTTAGGTTAAGGGTAAGGGTTAGAGTTGAGATCAATATTATATATAAAATTACCTCACCAAAAATATGAGTTACATCACCTACAAAAGATCACATGCTCGAAATATTTTTGTGTTACGCATTGATCATGTGAATTGATCGGCCAGGTGCGAAGCACGAACTACGGAAGTATGGATGGATGGAATAAGTATGGGTGGAAGTATGGATGATCGACGTGCCAAGTGATCAGAAGCTCACTAAAAGTCAAAAACTGTCATGTAGAAAAAAGAAAATACAAACCTGCTTAATTCTCTTATGAACAAACCTGTTATGAATAATTCTGTTGGCAAAGAAAAATTTTAGGAAAAAATAAATGACATGTCAACTAAAAATTACACTTTCATTTTGATATGTAAATGTTGAAAAATAAAATAAAATTAAAAGGAAAAAGGTAGTAATGGTAGTATGGTAATTTATTCGTTACGATTTCGTTGAATATCATAGCAGTTGTCATAGTTATAAATGTTAGTTATTGATGATATCGTTGAATATTGTTGAAACCATCGGTGTTAGTCATATTATTGATATCGGCAATAGTGTTTATTGTTGCGAGCAAGTTTTACGAAACCAGTGTTTATTTATACTTTATTTATAAAATTCTATTGGCTCTATATTATGCACGTAGGCGTAATACGCAAATTTGTTAGTTGGTAATTGATTGTTAAAAGAAATTTTTGTATGTTTTGTCTGAGATTTTGAACATTCATTGATACAGTTGTGCAGATGTTACTGTTACTGTATTTGGTGTTGAAGATTTTCTCATCATAACTTGTTACGCTATTTTTTTGAAATTGGATTTAGCCAACGGGTTTAAGACAAATGGCCAATAATGAATCACATGTTGTTATTTATTGTACGCGATTTAGGCGGTTAAACCGGTGCTGTTCATCTCCTGGTTTAGTTGAAATCATTACAAAATTCAAAGCAAATTACTCAAGAGTTTATAAATAAAAAAATGAATTTTAGCATTCGGGATTTCATGATTTCGGGAGATTTTGTTTGTCGGATAAGCAAGAAAAGGGACAACGATTATATAACAGCGAAATTGAAAAATAAAAAGAATTCTTTACACGTTAGATGACATTTTTAATTCTGAAAGTGAAAGTCTTTTTCGTAAAGCTGACGGCAAAAATCAGAGACCCTCCTGATTGTTTCTTCTTTCTTTCGTCTATATAACTAATACAGTCAATTTCATAAGTAATGTTATGAAATTTTCCAAACACAAAGAACATAATTCATGGCGTTACCGTTTATAGGTTGATAGATGATCTACATATGTCGTAGATCGTCAATAAACTTATACACAAGCGTTATGAAATCATTTTTTTACATACTCATCCCGAAGGTCCAAAGCTTGGACTCCAAGCGACAGCGAAGTATATTGGTTGTGCTAAAGGTACAGTAAGTAATGTGCTCAAAAAGTGGAATAAAACAAAGGACCTAAGTAATGTACCAAAATCGGGGCGGAAATGAATTACAACTCTAAAATAAGATAAAAAAATTAAAGAGCTTGCAAAAAAAGAAACTACCATAACTACTCTCGAAATACAATGGAAAATGACAAAAGATAATGTTAATATAAGTGTACCTACAATTTGGCGACATTTACATGAAGCTGGGGCCAAATATATGAATCAACTTTTCAAACTCTTACTCACCGATAAACATAAAAAATTCCGACTACAATGGGTGAAAAATCATAAGAATTTTGATTGGAATCAATTAATTTTTCAGATGAAGCACCTTTCAACTAAATCAACGAGGAAGAAAGGAGTGACATTTCCTAGTGGAAGAAAAGTATTCTATTCTGTAAAGCATCCATTAAAAGTCCATGTATGGGGTGTTTTTAACTTCAGGCTTCGGGAAGTTAGTTTGTTTCCAGAGGAATCTAAATGCTGATTTTATGATTACACTTTATGAGAAGGTTCTTCTGCCTTCCATTGAAATACTTTTTGGTGAGGATGGTGAGGATTGTGTAGATTGGATTTTGCAGAAGGATAATGATCCTAAACACCATTCAAAACTTGTAAATAAATGGAAGAAGGAAAATGACGTACAAGTTCTTTCCTGGCCATCAATGTCACCCAACCAAAATCCAATTGAAAATGTCTGGGGGATTATGAAAATAAATATTGCAAAAAAAAAATTAGAGAGTTTAAAGAGTGCTGTCTGCCTAATGATTTAGCGACAAAATTAGTCGACAGTATGAAAATCGTTAATTGAATCCCATGGGGATTATACTCTGTATTAGTGATCAGGATTAATTATATATTTTTAAATAAAAAAAGAATTTTTTTGCTTTATTAAATTGTGTGACGAGAAAATAGGGGTCAGTTACTTATGAAATTGACTGTACATGTCTGTATCACATAAGTATTGTTAATCATATATTTGATTTTAACTTATCAGACTTATCAGGCGATTTATTTGAACAAAAAAAACAGTTCTTTATTAAAGCTTTTGTGATTAACGGCATCAGTCACAAAGTTTCGTAAGTCGTCACAGGTTCGTCAATCGTCGCAGATTTTGTCAATTATCACAGGTTTCGTCAGATAATTATATACAGTAGCTAGAAAATTTTTTATATCGAATCTTTCGAGATTTTTACTAATGTTGGTAATGATCATCGATGATTCAATTTTCTCGTGTTAATGAAAGTAGTTATAAAAGAAAAACAAAAAAATCACATTCAAATTGAGTGATATTATAACACACGTAAATCGGACATACTTTATCATTATTCTAATAAATTATCATTTATTTTAGAATAAAATTATGTGTTGCAAAAGTTTTGGACAATCGTCGTTCAATCCAAATAAAAAGGGATAAGATATTCGGTACTACGGGAGTCATTTTACTTTCTTTTTTTGCAAAATTTTGTTCTAAAAAGAGCGAACGAAAATGCCGACGACCAAGAAAAATACCCATGCCCAAACTATTGAGCATTTCTGGCTTCAGGGAAAAAGTGCAGGCGAAATACATCGCCTAACAAATATTGCGAGGTCGACTATTTATTATAACATTTCAAAATTGAAGAAAACCTGAAGTACAGTCCACAAAAAACGCAGTGGTCGTCCCACAAAAATCACCCCTGAATGCTCAAGGTCCATTGGACAGATTGTTCGGAGAAATCCTACGATATCTTTAAGAACATTGACCACAAAATTATTCAAAAAAGGTACCCGGGTATCTTATAGTACACTTTCAAGACATTTAGCCAAACATGGCTTTGACAAAAGTCTTCCTATGGCGATACCAATGCTCACGGTGGCACACAAGGAAAAGTGGATAGAATGGGCGCAAAATCATCTCAATGACAATTGGAATCGGACAGTATTTTCTGACGAAACACATTTTCAGCTATTCAGAAGCACTGTACAAGTTTGGTACAAGGGTGAACGGCCAGTTCGTCGCATCCCAAAAACCGAACAAAAATTAATGCTTGGGGCGGGTTTTGTACAAAAGGTATAACGAGTCTTTTTTGCTTCCGAGAAGATATGACCGGTCTTTTCTATGTCGATATCCTAAAGAAACATGTTCCTGAGATCAGAGACATGTTAAGAAATAATTGGTGGTTCCAACAAGACAACGATCCGAAGCACACAAGTGGTGTGGCGAAAGAATATCTTCAAAATAACTTCCCAAGAGTA